CAGAGCAGAACAGATTTGGAAATTTCTGGGTTTAGAGAGAGTTCTAAGCCCCAAATCTTGTGATTGAACAAGAAAGAAGGAGAAATTTCAACCTTTGTCACCAATTTTCTCAAAGAAATGAGTCGGTGGCTGGAGGGGCTTGGGGGGGCTGTCGCGGATGAAGAAGAAGAGCAAAGCACGTAAATGGCTAAGGAAGAAAGAGGAAAAGAAGAAAAAAAGTATCAGCTGGTCCTTATCCAAAGTTTCTTCTTTTAAGTCCCTCAAGTTTCGAAAATTTTCATTATTAGGCCCCAAACAATATTTTTTTCAAAATAAGTCCCTAACTTAAATGATAAAATCCCCAAAAATCTGGGATATTACATGACTTCTAGTTTGAAACCAATTAAAAAATGTGTGAGATTTTCAATGTGAACAGTGGATTGAGAGAAATTAAAAAAAGAGAAAGATATTAGGTGTGCTCATTGAGATTAGAGATGACAATTTCTTTCGATTCCCGTGGAGTCCACAGGAATCCTTGCCACGCGGGGCGAGGATGGGAGCATTTTTCCCTCGTAACATTACGCGGGGAATTTTCCCCATCCTGGAGGCCTCATCCTCGCAAAAAATTTACAAATATATAAATTAATTTTATTCTAAATTTTATTCCACATATTATCAAACCCAAACCTAATCTAATAAAAATTAAATTTAACCCAACCCAATCCAACCCATAAAAATTAAAATTTACCCAATTTTACACAACCCAACCCAACCAATTATTAACTGTAATCCTATTACCTTATCATCTCATCAGTCATCACTCACTCTAACCTTCCCCTTGCTGCCGTTAGTCCTGTGTGCCAGCATTCTGAAAAGAATTTTGCTTCCAAGATCATGAAATGAAGAAAAAAGTAAAGGAAATTTGAGGAATTAAATGATGAAATACGTTTTCTTTGAGCCTGTCAATAATTTTGAGGCGAAGCCAGTCGAAGTCGCCATCGTCCTTGAGCTTTGCTATCACATCTTCTCTGCTTATCTTCCCGGCTGCTTCTCCCATTGTCTCTAGGCAAACTACCGACTGCGCCAAGTTCCCCTATAGAAGCAGACCATTTATTTGCTTATTTTTGTTTTGCTGCTCCGAAAACTCAATCGCAGAGTTTGTTCCCCTGCACCTGTAGAAGCAGATATGCTTATTTTGCTTTTGCTGCTCTAAAAGCTCAACATTCAGCTATTTTGCTCTTCTTCATCCATCTCACTAGGTGTTCTTTTGTTGTTCACATTTTCATCACATTGAACATGTTTTTCCCCTTTTTTTTTCCCTTTTTTTTTTTGGCTTTTTGGTTCTACTTGTTGATTTGATTGCTAAATTTGTTATACTTGTTCATTTGATTCTTAATTTGTCTCTCCATTGTGAGATCTAGAAGTAGATCTACTAGATTTTTTTTTTTTTTTTTTTAAATCTATTAAATGTTAATCTTTAATTAATCTTACATTCAAGCAAATTTTTTGATGCAAAAATTGATGTTTTTTGTCCATAAATATGGTTCTCTCTTAAGTCTTTGAGCTCCTTAATTTCTTCTTGATTATGTAAAGGCTTAATTTTTTTTTTATATATAAATTGACGGAGAACTGGAACGGAGACCTTGCCGACGTCAGGGAGCCCCGTTGCCATACCTAATTGAGATTACTTTCACTGAAATTCGATCATATTAGGAAACCCGACAAAATAATGAAATTCTATGAATTTGTTGCAACTTTTGTGTAATTTAATAATCCAAGGAATGCTAAGGTGCATTGGGAATTCCAATTCCACCTCGAGCAGAAAGAAAAAGATTCATTTAATTTGGATCAATGACCTCATATGGCAGTTTTGAGGCTCGTATCCAAAATTTGGACCATAGGTCACAAGCGTGAAGCACCCAAAAATTCGGTCCATGTGTTTTGATAACTTAAAACATTGAGTTGGGGCAGTAATCAGGCTATAGGCCAAAAGCCCAGCCTTACTAGTTCCCCCCCGCCACAAAAACCACATGCTCCTATGGTTCCTTCAATTATTGTGACAGCACAAAATTCACGTGGTGAGGTTAGGTACACGGAATGAGTTCAAGATTCACGTGGTAGGTTAGGTACACGGAATGAGTTCAAGATTCACGTGGTGAGGTTAGGTACACGGAATGAGTTCAAGTCACCCTTTTCTATATTATCGTGACTGTCAAGTTACGTACACGGAGTTGGGGTTTCACATATATTAGGTTATTTGGCAAAGATTAAAAAATATTTATTTAAAAATATTATTTATTTCTCAAAAATTTAAAATTTTATTAAAAAATTAATAAAATTAACTTTTTAAATGAGTTTTAAGTTAATTTTGAAAAAAATAT